ATACATACATACATACATACATACATACATACACACACAGATTTTCAAAATAATAACAGGGCAAAAAGAATGCAATACATTAATAAAGAACATAGGAAATAATATGAATATTAACATGTTAAAAATCTATTCATCTTTTCATGAGGGATCTATCCTGCAAGCTGTTTAGTTTCCAATATTATGATATAAAATATTTTGACCTCAGAGAAATCTAGATGTAGGCCTGTTTTTAAATATGAAAGTTGCTAGTAAATACTCTATTACTGAGTTTCACATTGTTTTATGAGAGAAATGTCTGGATATTAAAAGTATATTTATTTATTTACATCTATTGAGACAGAACAGATGGAAGCAAACACACAGGTCTAGCTCTCTGAGTACTATAAATATTCTCCCTGATATCTTGAGAAGCCTCTAGCAATTTTTTCAACAAGTTTCATATTGTAGCTGTTTATTCTGTTTTCCTGACAATATGATAAATGGAGTGGCTCTCTTGTGAAATTCAAAAGTGACAACTACTAACACTTTCCAGTTTGCATATTACAATCTCTGTCTTTAGCTTTCTAAAAACAGAAGGTATCATGTCTATCACAAATGGCAAGTGTGGATTTCTGTGGAGGTTTGTACATTGATTGAATCATAGAATCATAGGATTGGAAGCGACCTTAGAGGTCTTCTACTCCCTATCCTTGGCAATAATCGCAAACAAATGGTTGTCCACTCTTTTCTTGAAAGCCTCCACCAATATTGCATCTACAACTTTGGGATGCAAGCTGTTCTGTTGCTTAATTGTTCTCACTGTCTGGAAATTTTTCCTTAATTCTAGGTTGGACCTCTCTTTAATGAGTTTCCACCTATTGCTTGTCCTATCCTCAGGAGCTTTGGAGAATAAGCCAACCACCACCTTTCTGTCACAGCTTCTTGTGTACCAGAAGACATCCATCATGTCACTCCTAATTCTTCACTTTGTTAGACTAGACATACTTCGTTCCCTTAACTGTTCCTAGTATGGTTTATCCTGCAGAGCCCTTATTATATTAGTTGATCATCTTTGCACTTTTTCTTAGGGTCTTAGCATCTTTTTTGTATCAGGGTGACCAGAATTGGACTCAGTATTCCAAATATGGCCTCACTAGTGCGGTATAAAGTGGTATTATCAATTCTGATGATTTTGATGCTATTCCTATGCTGATGCAGTCTAGGACTACATTGGCTTTTTTGGCAGCTGCTGGCTCATACTTAAGTAATAATGTACTAGGGAACCTGGATCTCTCTTACAGTTGCTTCTCTTGATTCAGGTATCACTTATTCTATTATCTGTGCATTTGGTTTTTCCTGCCTAAGTGCAGGATCATCTTTTTCTGATCACTGAACTGTGTCTTGTTAGCTATGGCCCTATGATCAAGTCTGTCAATATTCTTTTGAGTCTTAAGCCTATCCTCCAAACTTGTAGCATTTCCCCACAACTTAGTGTCATCTGAAAATATGATAAGCTCCCCTTCTATCTCCTCATATGGATCATTGATGAAGATGTTGAAGAGCACTGGCCACAAAACAGAATCTTGAGGTATTCCACTGTGCGTCCCTCTCCATATAGATGTAGTTCCATTGATCACTACATGCTGAGTGTGGCTGGTCAGCCAACTGCGAATCCATCTGGTGATAGTACTGTCTATTCCACATTGTTCTGTTATCAAGTAGCAGGTTGTGGTCTGCTTTGTCAAACACTTAACTGAAGCCTACGTATACCATATCTACAATGTTTCCCTGATTCACTAATTCAATCATTTTGTCAAAGAAGTCAATATGGTTTGTCTGGCATGATATCTTTTTAACAAAGCCATGCTGAGTTTTGGTAATCACTTTGTTCATTTCTAGATGCTCACAAATCTGCTGTTTGATTATCTTTTCTAGGCTTTTCATGGGTATTGAGGTCAAACTAATTGATTTGTAGTTTCCTGGATCCACCTTTTGAAGACTGGAACCACATCAACTCTTTTCCAGTCCTCTGGCAGTTCCCCTGTGTGTCAGCAGCTCTGAAAGATTACGCTCAATGGTTCTGAGATCACATGCGTCAAAACACTGGGATATAATTCATTGGTCCTGATGATTTGAACTCATCTAGGGTGCATAGGCACTTTCTTAACAAACTTATTGACTATTTTGACCTGCATTCCTGTTGTGTCTTCCAGTGGTGCTTTTGGTAGTTTAGAGTATTTTTTTCTTTTTTGAATGAAGACAGAAGCAAAGAAGGTATTAAGAAGTTCTGCTTTCTCCCTGCTGCCCATATCCTTTTTGCCAACGTCCCCAAGTGGACCAATCATTTTCTTGACTTTTTCCTTGTTTGAAAAACTTTTTTAAAATTATTTTTGGCATTTGTTGCAATACTTAGTTCATTCTGAGCCTTAGCTTTCCTGACTCCGTCCTTGCATATTTGAGCTGTTTGCTAGTATTCTGCTTTGGTTATGGTTTCCCTCTTTCCATTTTTTATACTTAGCTTTTTTCTCTGTTTGTCAGAGAATTCTTTACGCAGCCATGCTGGTTTCATCTGGAGTCCCTTGTTTTCTTTCTCTGTGATA